AGTCAGGCTTGGGGGATGCCCCACCCACGAGGAAGCCATCCACGTCAGGCTGGCATGCCAGCTCCTTGCAGTTTGCCCCAGTCACAGAACCTGGGAAGGGAGGAGTGAGGGTGAATGGTCAGGGATGGGATGGGCATACTCCATTCCCACCTCAATGTCTAAGGAAGGCTCAGTCTAGTTCCCAGCCCACCCTACCTCAGGCTGGAGCCAAACCCACTCACCTCCATAAATGATGCGGGTGCACTGAGCCACTGCATCAGAGACATTGGACTTAAGCCATCCCCGGAGCTTTTCGTGTACTTCCTGGGCCTAGAACAAGAAGCCAGACTAAGTTAAGACTCTAACTGCCTTTCCCTCAAAGGGGGAACCACCCTGGGCACCCGTGATGAGGCAGTGTTGCTTCAGGGAATCCCAGAAACCCTGAGATCCCAGTTAGAACACCAGGCCCTGGAATGGCTGTCCTTGGGCAAGTCATTCTCATTCTCTGGGCTTGGGGGACCCTGTCTTTAAAATGAAGGGTTGTCCCAGATGGTCTCTGCTGTCAGTTCTACCCAAGCAGGGTAGGCCGAGGGTGGGGCTCCTGGGCGTGGTTACCTGCTGGGGGGTTGCAGTCTTGCCTGTACCAATGGCCCACACAGGCTCATAGGCCAGAACAACCTTGCTCCAGTCCTTCACGTTATCTGTGGGACAGAGATCACAGAAGCAGGGTGAATAGGAGGGAGCGACGGAGCTTGGTACCAAGGAATAAAGAGGGTGGCCTGCTGCCCCCTAGTGGCTGTTTAAGAAACTCCAAGAGGTATCAATACCATGGGGCAGGTGAAGTGAGAGAGAGGAAGCAAGGGTTCCCACCTTCCCCCTCCCTTTCCTGTGTCAGCATGGGGATCAAGTCAGGCTGCAGGGATCTGACCCCACCCTCTGTGCCTTCATGGACTTGGCGAGGCTCATAGGTCCCTTCAGAAATACCTGCGATGACCTTGGTTTGTTCAAAAACGACCTTCTCTGTGATGCCAGCTTCCCTCTCATCTAGCTTCTCCCCAATGCAGGCGATGACTCCAAGTCCCTCGGCCAGGGCATGGGCCACTTTCTGCCCAATCAGCTGTTGAGGAACACACTTGGTGAAACACCACTCTTGGAACAAGGCATCTCTCACCTCTTCTCCTAGTTACTAACCTCATCTGACTCCCCAAAGACGTGTCTTCTCTCCGAGTGCCCCAGGACTACCCAGGTGGCTCCACAGTCTTTGATCATGCCGGGGCTGTGGGAAGAGGTGAAGCCACAGTTCCACAGGGAGGAACATGAGGGACGGGTCCCCACACACCCCTCTCCCACCTGCATCTCACCTGATCTCCCCAGTGAAAGCCCCATTCATCACTTTGTAGCAGTTCTGGGCAGCCACGGCAATCTTGGGATCTAGCTTCTGCCTGGCGAAGTCAATGTAGGCGGTGGGGGGTGCACAGACCACCTCTGAGGACGAGATCGCAAGGAAGCCTTCATGCTCTAGACTCCATCCAGGGCTCTGAAGCCCTCGCCTTCACCAGCTTTCTGAGTTCTGCTTCCCTTCCCTTTTCCCCCCAACAAGACGATCTTTGTCCACATCCCAGGTTGGGCCTGTTTCCAATTCCTAGAGCCTCCCAGGTGCCCCCGAGGCCACGGCCCTGCCCTCTGCTCTTTTCACAGCTGTGGCTCTGATTTCCTGGGGCTATTCTGGGCCTGAGCACCGACTAGACTCAGCATTCTCCGGGGCCAGCCCAGCCTCCCTTCTAAAATAGCTCTCACAGGCCAGGCAAGGCTTTTTAGCAAAAGCAGAAAAGGCCAAGTCCGGCTGCTGTGGGGTCTCGGGGCTGCCCCTTCTCATCAGGCCGGTGGTTCTGCGATGTGGGTGGATGGGACGGGCTGAGGACAGCACTGCGGGTGGTGGGCGGGGAGCCGAGCGGCTCCGGGAGACCCCGCGCTTCCCGGTTCCAGGCTGGAGAGCGCGTGGGATAGCTCCTCGTTCGCAAGTGGCTGGGGCTGCTTGGCCCCCGCGCAGGCGGCCGAGGGGCGATATCTGTTCTTTGAATAATTTGGCAAAAATTACAATCTAGGCCAGTTGCTTTTCAGTATGTTGGAGGGGGGCTGCTTTTAAAAAAATAAATAAATAAATAAACTTTTAATTTTGGAATAATTTTGATTTAAA